GAATGAAGGCATAGATTAAAATAAATTTAGAGATCAGCATTATAGTACTGTGTGTTAAGCCACTGCTTGTAATCTGGTTTTTTAATCAGAGTGCTGGTTTGAGTCCCAGCTGCTCTGCTTCTGATCCAGCTTCCCACTAATGTGCCTGAGAAAGTAACAGTGGATCCAACAGTGGTTGGATCCTTGCCTCTCACATGGGAGAGCTAAATGAGAGTGCCAGGCTCATGGCTTCAGCTTGGCCCAGCTGTCACTGTTAAAATAATTTGGGAATTAATCAATCATTGGAAGATTGATCTTTCTCTTCAACAAGTAAGTAAATAATATATATGTAAATAAACTTACATTCCTTCATTTTATTCTTAATTTTGTTCCCATTAAACAAATACTTTGGGGGCTGGTGCTGTGGTGTAGCAGGTAAATCCGCCGCCTGCAGTGCGGCATCCCATATGGGCACCGGTTTGAGTCTCGGCTGCTCAACTTCCGATCCAGCTCTCTGCTATTGCCTGGGAAAGAAGTAGAAGATGGCTCAAGTTCTTGAGCCCCTGCGCCTGCATGGGAGACCTGGAAGTGGCTCCTCACTCCTGGCTTCGGATCAGCTTAGCTCTGGCCATTGCGGTCATTTGGGAAGTGAACCAGTGAATGGAAGACCTCTTTCTCTCTCTGGATCGACCTCTCTCTGTAACTCTCTCAAATAGATATAAATCTTAAAAAAAAAAAACAACACTTTGTAGTACTCTAAATGTAGCTAATCAATCAAAATTGAATAAACAGTATCTATTTGAAAAGTTTTAATAGGGTAATAGTAATGCAAGTCACCTTTAACCATATTCTTGTTGCATAAACACCCATAATATAATGTTAGGTGAAACTAAAATAAAATCAAATTTGCATAGTCTACAATAACTTTACAATTTTAAAAGGTTAAACCAAGATAATAAATGTCAAACTGCGAGTTTAGTATTTATTTATTTAATTGACACCTGAGCTCCAACCCAGTGGTGCTTAAATCAGTTGGGAGGCAATTAACTGCTATCACACTAGTGTAAATATAGATTACAACCAGAACAAATAAATGAGAAATGAAGACTGCTTAAAAAAAAAGAACTCAAACAAATATTTTTGTAAGAAGCGTGATTTATGAAGTTTGGAGAATATTTAGCATTAAGTACTCTTTCCATATATTTCTTTCCTACAACTCAACTCTCTTCAAAGTTGAAATGAACTAATGATGGTTTATAATTTTATCAGTGAACCAATGGAACAAGTTGGTATATTTCCATTTCCTGAGATTGAGTCTTATTATATCTGGAGAAACAAAAGTATAATTAGAAACCTATCATAACATGAATCACTGTATCACAACACAGAAGAAAACAAGTCCCTAATAATTACTACACATCCAGTAAAAGCTCTAAGGCACATAACTAATTTCTGTCCACTAATAAACTATTTACAACAGATGTTAAAATACTGATAATGTACAGAGATTAATGATTAAAATGCAATAAAAATTGGATTTTTGCTACAAATTATGGTTGACTAAAGACATAAATATATAATATATAGAAATTTATATATAAATATATAATGGCTTTGGGACACAGAGCTAAGTAAATTAAAATATATCACTCATATAAATCAAAGAAACCTATTTTAGGGGCAGGTGTTTGGCATAGTGGTTAAGATGCTGTTTGTGTGCCTGCATCCCATATCAGAGTGCCTGGGTTAGAGTCCCAGCTTCACTCCTAATTCCAGCTTCCTGCTAATAGACATGCTGAAAGGAGAGGCAGCAGAGGATGAGGATGGCTCCCTGCCACCCACATAGGAAACCTGGATTAAGTTCTCAGTTCCCGGAATTGGCCTGGTCCAGCACAGGTGTCCTGGTCTCTAGATGTTGTAGGCATTTGGGTAGTGAACCAGTGGACAGAAGCTCCTTCTTTCTTTGTCTCTCAAATAAACTATAAAAAAGAAAGCCTACTTAATCCTACATGTATAAAGCTAAATTCATAGTGTCATTAAAGTTTTGACTTGGCAGGCGCCGTGGCTCACTAGGCTAATCTTCTGCCTGCAGCACCAGCACATCGGGTTCTAGTCCCGGTTGGGGCGCCGGATTCTGTCCTGGTTGCTCCTCTTCCAGTCCAGCTCTCTGCTGTGGCCCGGGAGTGCAGTGGAGGATGGCCCAAGTGCTTGGGCCCTGCACCCGCATGGGAGACCAGGAGAAGCACCTGGCTCCTGGTTTCAGATCAGCATAGTTCTGGCCATAGCAGCCATTTGGGGGGTGAACCAATGGAAGGAAGACCTTTCTCTCTGTCTCTCTCACTGTCTAACTCTGCCAGTACAAAAAATAAATAAATAAATAAATAAGATTTTGACTCAAACAAAAGCTAAAGATTCAAGATAAAAACTCAAAAAGGATAGACTGAAATATACTATAAAATAATATATAATAAAAGGGATGAATGATTAATAATGGAAAAATCTAAATTTATCCTGTAATTTTAACACTCTCGCTCGTCGGCGCTGTGCTGATCTCTCACAGCTGATCAGCTGTGCTGATCTCTCTCTGTGTAACTCTGACTTTCAAATAAATAAAAAAATCTTTTTAAAAAATAGTGTGTTTCACTATTCTAGAATTTGAATAACAATTTGTACTCTACATATCTACAATTAAATATAAAAGATTTCCTAGTTAGTACACAGGGATCCTTAGAATTCAAGAATAATTTTTTTTATTTTTTATTTATTTGAAAGTCGGAGTTACACAGAGAGAGGAGAGGCAGACAGAGAGAGATCTTCCATCCTCTGGTTCACTTCCCAGAAGGCCGCAACAGCTGGAGCTGCGCCCATCTAAAGCCAGGAGCCAGGAGCTTTTTCTGGGTCTCCCTCATGGGTGCAGGGGGGCCATCTTCTACTGCTTTCCTAGGACATAACAGAGAGCTGGATTGGAAGTGGAGCAGCCAGGTCATGAATGGGCACCCATATGGGATGCCAGCGCTTCAGGCCAGGGTGTTGACCTACTGTGCTACAGCACTGGCCCCAAGAATAATATTTTTTTAAAAAAACTTTGTTCTTGTGATAGAAATAAACAAAATATACAATAGATGAGATTTATGTCCACATGTAATCCTAAAAGATAATTAGTAAAATCTGTGATGCCAACGAAGATGCATTTTTTAAAATATCAAATCATGAAGACTAATGTATTTTTCATGTCTTCATCAAGATGACAAAATCTAACAGATATAAAATAAATTACACTCTATAACATACAGTGATACAGAGACCAGAGGAAAAAGAAGGGTCAAAAGCAATACTCATCTAGCTTTGCTCATAGGGAAAGGATATGATAATGGCTGGATTTAAGAATCTAGGTACCTTAAAAAGTATTCTTCATAGAGAGAAGGGGTAATTCTTAAGCTTCTACCATAGAGTTGATGATGAAATATCATTCAAGATTTTCCAAGTTTCTCTTCTCTGATTTCATGATTACCACATAACCTCTAGTTATTAACCTGGCTTCCCAAGTTCTTGGATACAGGAAGAGTGCACTGGATTTGGAACCTGAAAATTCCAATCACTGGAAACGGTAATTTGTTCCAACACAAACTGGCATTCCAATGTGTGCATTCTAACTTACGCATCATTCTCTAGTTCGAATTGCCTTCCTGAAGTCTGTACATACATAAGTGAAAGTATACATTTGATCTTCTTAGGCAGGAAATATAAGGAGGACACTCTTTTCCACTGACAACTATTACAATCATCTTTTCTTTTTCACTTCCTGTCCTTATCCTGTCGCTAAAATGAAATGTGAAGAAAAAAATAAAATAAACTTTATTTTGGCCTACTGAAATAATTTGGACACATTCATTTAAACATCAAAATAACTAACAAGTTGTCTAGAATTTAAACCAAAACATAGGATATACATTTACACAGCCTCATTTACATTAATGCTCTATTCCCCAAGAATAAAGAAACCCAGGATGTTCAAATTGTGCTCTAAGGAAAAATTCAGATTTTTGAACTTGCACTAGCCAGCAACTTTATTTATAAAGGGGTTTGGCATGTGAGTCAACCGTTCCAAGACTTAAAGAAGTATTTAAAAGACATCTCATGCGGAGCAGGGAAGGAATACTTGCATTTGAAGTTATTCAAATAAAAACTAAGACCTCCCTCATTGGATGATTCAACAGTAATTGTATTATTCCATTAAAACAACAATGACAGCTATATTTCATACTCCACATCATTCAGCCTCATACTAGACATTGCAACTCAACTGTGTCCGCTTAGGTTTCACTGAGAAAACGCCGCCTAAATTCTCAGTTCGCCTTAACAAACGTCTACCGTTGCTAAACCCACGGAGCAGAAGTCTCTTAGGACCGCGATGCCATGAACTTGCACCTCAACCGAAATCGTCTTTGCAACCTCCGTCTCCTGGAGACTCGACCGGCTGCTGAGACCGTGAGAATCCTGCAGGGAGCCTCGGGTGGCAGAGACGGGGTAGAGGGAAGGTCTGAGTCCCGCGGAGGAACGTCTACAGGGGAGCGGTTAGCTGCAGAGACTAACAGACCCGGCTCCAGATGATGTACATTTAAAGAGAATTTAGTGACGGGCGTAGGGGAAAGTGACAGAAAATCATTGCCCTCCTCCGTTAGAAGGTGAAGAGAAGTACGAAAAGAGGGCAAGGGGAGGAGGGCGGGGAGAGTAAGGGCCCCAAGGACCAGGAATGGAGAAGAGCACCCGATCTGTGAGCTGGGCCTTGGTTCGGACCGCCGGTCCCGTTAGGCGGGCGGCAGGATGAAAGCATCGCGCTCACTCAGGGTAGTGGAGAAGTAAAAGCATTTACAGCGGTCACCAGCCCTGCACAAGAAGATGTCGTCTCTCTTTCCCCGCCAGCTCCCCTTCATTCCCGTACCTCTCATTCTGGCACCAGCGACACTCGGGCAAAACTCTGCCAAAGCCCGCGCCGCGGGAGGACAGCAAAAGGAAAATACCTGAGTCCCAGGAATCTCGCTGACAGCGACAGGAGGAGGAGCCGTGGACAAGTGGAGCCCGGGTAAGATCCTCTCTTGGCTCTGGTCAAACCCAACTCTTACGGGTGGGGCGGGGAGCTTCCGCCCGGAGCTTGGAGAGCGTCACTTCCTTCTGTCACCACCCGTCCTCCTCGGCGCTCTAGCTACGTTCGCAGCGTTCTGACTTCCTCTTCCAGGAGCCTTCGGCCTATAACACCTGACGTGGACTACAAGACCCAGCATCCACCACGGTAACTTGATTTCCGGGGTCAGGGGAGCCGCGCTAGGTGCATCACCATGGAAGCGATCGGTTTGGTCACGTGGGGCCCCTGGTTACGCCCGGTGGCGGCTGTGGGGTCTGGGGCTCACGCGGGGGCCATTTTGCCAAAGGCTGCCTCCCGGAGTCGGAGGCGGCCTGGCACCTGGCTAAAGCTGTTCCTTCTGATCCTCTGCAGCTTAGAGCTTGAAGAAGAACTGAAAGGCTGGGCTCCATCGAGCCCCTGGGAGACGGCAATGGTTCCCTCCAGCCAGCGCCACCTGACGACCCTCCATGGCGACTGCGCCCTCCTCGCTCTTCCTGCTGCCGCCCCTTCCAACCCCGTGTGCCGGTCGCCTCCAGAGCCGCAGTCGTCCTTCCACCTCAGAGACTGATGATAGTCGAATAGGGGGCGCCATGAGAGGAGAGAAAAACTATTACTGCCGTGGAGCTGCTGGGGACCACGGTTCCTGCCCCCCTACACCATTGCCTCTGGCCTCAACCCTCTTGATGCCCGCGGAAGCGGTCTCGAGTAGCTGGTCCAGCTCTGGAGGTGGTTTGTCAGCGGGAGATGAAGAGGAGACTCGGCTCCTTCAACTCTTGCGCACCGCCCCGGATCCTTCCGAGGCCTTACAGGCTTTGCAAGCTGCTCTGCCGCGGCGGGGCGGCCGGCTTGGCTTCCCTAGACGCAAGGAGGCATTGTATAGGGCCCTGGGCCGGGTGCTCGTGGAAGGGGGTAGTGATGAGAAGCGGCTCTGCTTGCAACTTCTCTCGGACGTTCTCCGGGGGCAAGGGGAGGCAGGCCAGCTGGAAGAGGCCTTTAGCCTGGCCCTTCTGCCTCAGTTAGTTGTCTCCTTGCGAGAAGAGAATCCAGCCTTACGGAAAGATGCGCTGCAGATCCTGCACATATGTCTGAAGCGTAGTTCTGGCCAGGTGCTGAGAATGCTTATACAGCAAGGACTGGAAAGTACCGATACTCGGCTTAGAGCTTCCACGGCACTATTGCTCCCGATCTTGCTTACTCCTGAGGATTTGTTGCTTGGCCTGGATCTCACCGAGGTAATCATCTCTCTAGCCCGAAAGCTTGGCGATCAGGAGATAGAAGAAGAATCGGAGACAGCTTTCTCTGCACTTCAACAAATTGGGGAGCGACTTGGCCAAGAGAGGTTTCAGTCCTATATCTCTCGCCTGCCCTCTGCTCTGAGGAGACACTACAATCGCCGCCAGGAGACCCAGTTTGGAACTCAGGTTCCTTATTATTTGGAACTTGAAGCGTCTGGTTTTCCCGAAGAGCCTCTTCCCTGTGCGGTGGCTCTTTCCAATAGCAATCTTAAATTTGGGATTATTCCTCAGGAGCTGCATTCAAGATTATTGGATCAGGAAGACTATAAGAACCGGACTCAGGCTGTTGAAGAATTAAAGCAGGTGCTGGGAAAATTTAACCCTAGTTCTACCCCTCATTCTAATCTTGTTAGTTTCATTAGCTTATTGTATAACTTGCTAGACGATTCTAACTTCAAAGTGGTCCATGGCACACTTCAGGTCCTGCATATACTAGTTACTCGCCTTGGAGAGCAGGTACAACAATTCTTGGGACCAGTTATAGCAGCTTCTGTCAAAGTGCTGGCAGACAATAAGTTGGTAATCAAGCAAGAATACATGAAAATCTTCCTCAAGCTAATGAAGGAAGTAGGTCCTCAGCAGGTGCTTTGTTTACTGCTGGAACATCTCAAACATAAGCATTCCAGAGTAAGAGAGGAGGTGGTGAACATTTGCATCTGCTCCCTCCTGACTTATCCCAGTGAGGATTTTGACCTACCCAAGCTGTCTTTTGATCTAGCCCCAGCTCTTGTAGATAGCAAACGCAGGGTACGCCAGGCAGCTCTAGAAGCCTTTGCTGTGCTGGCATCATCAATGGGCTCAGGTAAAACCAGCATCCTTTTTAAAGCTGTGGATACTGTTGAACTGCAAGATAATGGTGATGGAGTAATGAATGCTGTGCAGGCCAGATTGGCTAGAAAAACCTTACCCAGGCTAACAGAACAGGGATTTGTGGAATATGCAATGCTCATGCCATCTTCTGCCCAGGGTAGGTCAAGCCATTTGGCACATGGAGCAGATACAGACTGGCTTTTGGCTGGTAACAGAACTCAGAGTGCACACTGTCACTGTGGTGACAACACAAGGGATAGCATGCAGCTTTATGGATCTTACAGTCCAACTATCTGTACCCGAAGGGTATTAAGTGCAGGAAAAGGAAAAAATAAGTTACCATGGGAAAATGAGCAGCCTGGAGTCATGGGAGAAAACCAGACCTCCAGTTCCAAGGATATAGAGCAGGTATGTTTCTTCTCCAATTTTTTAGTTGAAACTGTGTAAGAATTTAAAATGAAAATATGGCTGTGATACTTAAGGGAGAGGCTGCTTGAGAGCTGTTATGTTTTGTTTTAAATCAATTTGAATGCTGAATTGGGTATCTATTATGGTCACATAAGATGATTTAATAGATTTTCCTCCTAGATGGATTGCATTGATTTTGAGGCACAATGTGAAACAGACAATACCTGGATTTCAATTTTGGCTTGCCACCTTGGTGTGTCCATAACTTCATTAACATTACAAACATTGAATACCTAGTTAAGTGTCAGATAAAATCCAAGTTCTGGGATTAGACCAGTTCCACCTCATTTAGGGGAAAAAAACCAATAGGGCAGTTAACAAATTTGTTTAGTGCTAAAATAGAAAAGTTAACAGTCCTGTGGGGGTACTAAAGATAGAAAAAATAATTCCACTGAAGAAGTCAAAATAGCCTTCAATGTAGATGTGACATTTGAACTGAGATCCACCTTCCCAGTTTTTATTGTAAAAATTCCAGATACACAGGTAAATTAGGAGTATAGTGATTTACTCACATACTTCATCTATGTTTACCACTTGTTATTATCTTAATGTATTTGTGTTTGCTGAACTAGTCAACATCTTGCCATATTTGCAGTTTTCTTGACTTCACTCCTAAATACCTTGGTACATATCTTCTGAGAATGACATCCTTTTTTATAACCATAATATCATTGTCACTCCTTAGAATATCAATAGCAGTTCAGTAATGTCTAATATGTAGCCTGTATTTAAATTTCTTCCATCTGTCCCCAAAATGCGTTTCTTGATTTTATCCAGGATTCAGTCATACTTCATTTGGTCAATGTGTCTTTTACTTAGTGTAATATCCCCACCTGTTTGATTCTTTCTTTTTTCATGACACTGACTCTCTTTTTGGAAGTGTATTGAGTAGTTATTTTATAGAAAGTCTCACCTTTTAAATTTCTCTTTTTGTTGCCTTATAATTAGATTCAATTATAAGCTTTTTAAGAAATAAGCTTTTTAAGAAAAATAGTGCATACAAGCTAGGTATATATTAAATTAGACACACTTCACAGTAATATCACCTCATGAAACAAATAGTGTCCTATTAGTGATGCTTCATTTTAAGCATTTGGTTAAGATAGTGATAGCTAGGTCCACTATAGAGTTTTATAATTAGCACATAATCTGTAGGTTAGTAACTTTGAGAGTTCCCATATACCCCTGTCCACACATGTGGACAATTTACCTGCTATGTCCTGCACCACGGTGGTACATTTATTATAATCAATGAATCCATATTAACATATCATTATCACTCAAACTCCATAGTTTACATTAGAGTTAATTTATGTTGTATATAAGTTGACAAATGTATCCATTGTAAAATCATCCCGAATAGTTAACTCTCCTATAAATTCTCTATGTTCAAAAAAGGAGAAAATTCTCTCTGCTCTACATGTTCATCCTTTCCCCTACCTCCAACTCAGTCCCTGGAATCCGTGTTTATTTTATTGTCCCAGTCTCCCATGTGAGTGGCAGGGACCCAAGAAATGTGATTGCAGGCTCATATAGTAACACTGTATTTAGTCTTGTAAGAAATTGCCAGCCTGTCTTCCAAGGTGGCTATAGCATTTTGCATTCCCAGCAGAAATGAGGGAGAGTTTCCCTTGCTCCACACGGTAATCTGCATTTGGTGTTGTCAGTGTTTTGGATTTTGACCATTCTAATAGGTATATATTAGGATCTCATTGTTATTTTAATTTGCAATTCCCTAATGACATCTGATATTGGAACACATTTCCATATGCTCCGTTGCCATCCATTTGTCTTCTTTGGTAAGTTATCTGGTAAGGTCTTTTGTCCATCATTTTTTCTTTATTGTTGAGTTGTTTTTTTTTTTTTTTTTTTTTTTGACAGGCAGAGTGGACAGTGAGAGAGAGAGAGACAGAGAGAGAAAGGTCTTCCTTTTGCCGTTGGTTCACCCTCCAATGGCCGCCGCTGCAGCCGGCGCACCGCGCTGATCCTGGCAGGAGCCAGGAGCCAGGTGCTTTTCCTGGTCTCCCATGGGGTGCAGGGCCCAAGCACCTGGGCCATCCTCCACTGCACTCCCTGGCCATAGCAGAGAGCTGGCCTGGAAGAGGGGCAACCGGGACAGAATCCGGCGCCCCAACCGGGACTAGAACCCGGTGTGCCGGCGCCGCAAGGTGGAGGATTAGCCTATTGAGCCACGGCGCCGGCTTATTGTTGAGTTTTAAGAAGTCTTTGCGGGGTGGTCATTTGGCCTAGCAGTTCAGCTGTTGCTTGGGAAGCCCACATTCCCTTTCATAATGCCTGGGTTTGATTCAGTTTGTCATCAAAATAACTTGTTGAGATATTTGGTTGGAATTGTATTGAATCTATAGATCAGTGAAAGAACTGCCATCTTGACAATATTGCATCTTTCTATCCATGAACATGGAGTATCTCTC